GCTTGGGGAATTGGAGAGAGAAAGGATTAGAAACAGAGCATATATATATAGAAAGAATGAACGGAGTTAGAAAATAATCAATATATAGAATTAGTATATATATATATATATATATATATATATATATATATATATATATATATATAAGATGTATGTATATTACATATATATATATATATATATATATATATATATATATATATATATATATATATATATATATATATGTGTATATACATATATATATATATATATATATATATATATATATATATATATATATATATATATATATGTATATACATATATATATATATATATATATATATATATATATATATATATATATATATATATATATATATATATATACATATATATATATATATATATATATAAGATGTATATATATATATATATATATATATATATATATATATATATATATATATATATATATATATATACCTATGTATATATATATATATATATATATATATATATATATATATATATATATATATATATATATGTATATATATATATATATATATATATATATATATATATATATATATATATATATATACATATATATATATATATATATATATATATATATATATATATATATATATATATATATATATATAAACAAGGAAAACAAATTAGAAAAAACAGAAGAAAAAGATGAAGTGAGAGAGAGAGAAAAGAAATCAAGACAATTCGCCCCTGATGAAAAGGACACCTCCCTACAGCGTCCATGCACTTACCTGTTGGTCGATCTGGTCCCAATGTTGTGGTCAGTTCCACATCGGGGACGCTTTTATATATGCACGTGTGTGTGTGTGTGTGTACGTGTGCGGGTGTGTGTGTACGTGTGCGGGTGTGTGTGTACGTGTGCGGGTGTGTTGGTGCGTGTCATAGAGGAAGAGACGGGGGGGGGGGGGGGAGGAGAGAGGGAAGGGGGAGGAGAGAGGGAAGGGGGGAGGAGAGAGGGAAAGGGGGAGGGGAGAGAGAAGGGGAGTATGGAGGGAAGAGAAAGAGGATAGGGAGGGAGTGGGGAGGAGGGGAAGGGGGAGGGGAGGGGGCAGGTGGGTATGGAGGGAAAAGGAAGAGGATAGGGATGGAGTGGGGAGGAGGGAAAGGGGGAGGGGAGAGGGAATGGAAGGAAGAGGATAGGGAAGGAATAGAAGGAAGAAGAAGAGGATAGGGAAGGAGAGGTAAGAGGAGGTATGGGAGGAAGAGGAAAGGGGGAAAACTGAGGAGAGGAGGGGGATAGGGAGGAAAGAGGAAGAGGACAAGGAGGAGGAGAAGGAGGGAAGAGGAGGGAAGGGGAAGGGCTATAAGAAGGGAAAGAGAAGGAGGATATGGAGGGAAGGGGAAAGGAAAAAAAAAGGAGGGATAGGTAAATGGGAGGGAAGGAGAAAGAGTAAGGAAAGAAAGGAAAAGAAGGAGAAAGATAAGAACAGGAAGGGAAGGAAGGGAAGGAGAAGTGGAGGAGAAGGAGAAAGGGAGGGGAAGGGGGGGGGAAGAAGAAGTGGAAGAGAAGGAGAAAGGGAGGGGAAGGGGGGGGGGAAGAAGAAGTGGAAGAGAAGGAGAAATGGAGGGGAAGGGGGGGTGGGGAAAGAAGAAGAAGCGGAGGAGAAGGAGAAAGGGAGGGGAAGGGGGGGGGGAAGAAGAAGTGGAAGAGAAGGAGAAAGGGAGGGGAAGGGGGGGTGGGGAAAGAAGAAGAAGCGGAGGAGAAGGAGAAAGGGAGGGGAAGGGGGGGTGAGGGAAAGAAGGAGGGGGGCACTAGGGGGGGGGTGGAGAAGGGGGGTTATGGAGATCAGATCCCGGATGTTGGGACATCATTTCATGACAAAGGAAGGTCTTAAGGCGATTACTCCAAGGTTGCTTTTTTCTTTCTTTCTTCTTCTTCTCTTTCTTCTTCATCTTCGTTTTTTCTTCTTCTTCTTTTCTTCTGCTTCTTCATCTTTATCTTCTTCTTCATCTTCTTTTCTTTTTCTCCTTCTTATTCTTTTTCTTCTATATCTTCTTTTTCTTCTTGTTCTTCATCTTCCTTTTCTTATTGTTCTTCATCTTTTTCTTCTTCGTCCTCTTCTTCAACTTTTTCTTCCTCTTCATCTTCTTTTTTTCTTTTTTTTCTTCTTCTTCATTTCTTTTTCCTTAGAGGATTAACTAGACAAATCTGAAGATGAAAAAGAAGATGAAGAAGGAGATGATGGTGATGGAGAAGAAGATAAAGAAGAAGATGATGAAGAAGGAGATGATGATGAAGTAGAAGAAGATGAAGAAGATGAAGAAGAAGAAGAAGAAGAAGAAGAAGTTGAAGAAGAAGATGACGATGATGAAGAAGAAGAAGATGAAGAAAAAGGAGATGATGATGAAGTAGAAGTAGATGAAGAAGAAGAAGAAGATGAAGAAGAAGAAGAAGATGAAGAAGAAGAAGAAGAAGAAGAAGAAGAAGAAGAAGATGAAGGAGAAGATGATGATGGAG